GAGCCCAGGAGTTGGAGGTTGCTGTGAGCTGTAATGCTACGGCACTCTACCCAGGGGGATAGCTTGAGGCTCTGTCTCAAAAAAAAAAAAAAAAAGAAGTTCACATCTTAGAATTCATGTATTGCTGGTATTAGAAGGGTAGACCCAGGTGGATATTTATGGCTCAGTCTGGAAGATTGCAGGGAGTGTCCTCTATTTTAGTGCTAGTCATTCAGTTTATTTTTTTTTAATTTTAATTTTTTATTTTTTTGAGACAGAGCCTCAAGCTATTCCCCTGGGTGGAGTGCTATGGCATCACAGCTCACAGCAACCTCCAACTCCTGGGTTCAAGCGAGTCTCCTGCCTCTGCCTCCCAAGTAGCTGGGACCACAGCTACTATTTTTTGGTTGCAGCCATCATTGTTGTTTGGTGGGCCCAGGCTGAATTTGAACCCGCCATCTTAGGTGTATGTGGCTGGCGCTTTAGCCACTTGAGCCACAGGCACCAAGCCTAGTCATCAGTTAAAATAAATAAATAAATAAATAAAAACACTACATATCTGTGAGGAAATTCACAGGAAGGAAGGTATAAAGTGAAAAACAAATTACCTGGCCTTTTGCCTACAACTCTTTAATCTTACTCCTCAGAGGTAACCACTGTATATTAATTTTCTTACTGCCAGAAATGTTTGATATATGGTCCCTTTCATTTTCACTCCCTCTCTTCCCCACTGTTAGAGTGTAAGCTCATAGATTTGAGTTTTGAGAAAGATTTCTCCAGACAAAAATTAGGATAGAAAGAAGAAAAAGTTTATTTTATTTTTCCAGATGGGAAAGGCCAACACAGAGGTGAAAAAGAAGGAGATGGTATTGGCAGAGAGAACCAAGTACTCTGGCTTTTTATTTAGGGAGTGAAGGTTTATGGCTATAGACAAATTAACAGAGGACTGTGAATGCTGTATCTCTTCTTAGAGGCAGGCAGGTAACAGAAGAGGCAGACAGGCTTATCACTGGTGATTATGATCTTGGCATAGATAAAGATATGTTTTTGTTGTTGCTGCTGTTGTTTTTGAACAGGAACTGAGGCCTGTAGCTGGCATTCCTTGCTGTCTACTCAGCAACTCTCCAAGGCTGTAAACAGGTTCTTAGAAGCAATTTTAATCCTTTCCAATCCTATGTTGGACCTTGTCGGACATAATGATTCTTTTTTTGTTTACAAATGATTTTTATTTTGTTTAAGAATAAAATCCTATATTGGACCTTTTCTGACATAATGATTCTTTTTTTGTTTAAATAACCTAGAATAGATAATAAAATCATTAGGTGAGTTCATATTTTTCTTTCTCTCTCTCTTTTTTTCTTTCATTTTTTTTTTGAGACAGAGCCTCAAGCTGT